AGCTTTTTATGATTGAGAAATTTTGATAATGACAATTTGTCATCTCCTTTCTTCTTTTTTTAAACAAAGTTTTTCTGTATTTCCATTTTATGTTTCCATCAGCACTTTATCTCCTAATTTGAACTAGATGTCTATGTCAGATTTTTGATATTTTAAATAATGACAAGCAAAAAGTCAGACAAAATACTGAAATATGTCTTATTGAGAGAATGATAGATTTTGTCCTACTCATATTTTTATGGTATTTATCATTCTAATATATTAAAGCTGTGGTATTGCCTTTGTGGGTTCTGTGCTTTAGGATAGATAAGGCCACACAGTCATAGATTCGGAGCTGGAAGGGAATATAGCTAGAGGTCTAGTCTAACCTGCTCAGTGACTTGCCCAAGGTCACTCAGGTAGCAAGAATTTTAATGTAGGACCCCTGACTATCTCATATCTATCTATGTTTAGTTACTTCTGTGGGTAGTAGCATCTAGGCTTCCTTTCCCCTGGAGTGAAGGGGGGAACGTGGGGGGGCATCAAATGTATATGCTTGATGTATTTTATTCCATAACAAGTTTCTAACATACTACCTAATGGCAGTTGGAAGTTATTAGTCAAGACAACATTTATTAAGCTCTTACTATATGCCAGGCACTATGTTAAGTACTGGGAATGTAAAGGCAAAAACAGTCCCTTCCCCCTCAAGAGCTTCATTCTAATGTGGGTGACAACATGTAAACCACTAGATACATTCAAAATTTATACAAAGTAGATGGAAGGAGGTAGGAGATAGAAAGGCATTAGCAGCTGGGGGGACAGGGGAAGACCTCGGGGAGTAGGTGGATCTGAGCTGAATTTTGAAGGAAGTCAGGGAAATCCAGTGGCAGAGGTGAAGGAGCAGAGGATTCCTTGCTTGTACAGTAGGTACAAAGGTATGGAGATGGGAGTGTTGTGTTTGAGGAAACTGCAAGTAGGCCAGTGTGGCTGGGCATGGAAAAGTGCATGGAAGAGAAGAGGTGTGAGAAAACTGGTAGGGACTAGGTTATGAAAAGCTTTGATTGCCAAAGGAATTTATATTTGATGCTGTTGATGATAGGGAACCACTGGAAATCCTTGAGCACGCAGGCAGCGAGTTCTATTCTGTGATAGTTAAATGAGAAATTTGAGTTTAGTTCATATGCCATGGATTAAAAGGAAGATAGTTACTTTATCTTCCCATATGAAGATTACATGTTTTATTTTAATTGAGATTTTTGTTTATACTACATTCCTTTACAAACATGCCCTGTTTGATAAGAATAATAACATTAATTAAGTTTAATTAATAAGGTTCTTTGATAATGCTAAAACTCATAATGCTTAAAAGGCTATTTTTAAATTAATCTAGATATGAAATTTCTTTACTTGTGGTGTCGTGATGAAGCTATATGACAAACCATACTGTTGCTGGTAGATTTCTGGTTAATTTTTCAATATCATCACCTAAGAGGAAAGAGGAAAGGTGGGATGACAGCTAGGTGGCATGGTAAATAGAGTGCTGCTGGAATTAGATTCAGGAACACTAGAATTTGAATCCCACCCCAGGCACCTACTAGCTGTGTGACCCTGGGCATGTCCTTTTACCTATCTTAGCCTTAGTTTTCTTATCTATAAAATGGGAATAAAAATAGTATCTACATCACAGGGTTGTTTTAAGGATCAAATGAAATAACATGTGTAAAATGCTTTACAGGTATCTTTTTTAAAATAATAAATTTTTGACATCTTTTGTTGTTATATCACCTAGGTCCCCCTTGTGTCATTTTTGCATACATGATGGTTATGAGGTGAAACCTTAGGTGTTTTGATTTGTAATTTTAATTTTTTTTTTTATGATTTGGAGCATTCTATGGTTGTTGATAGTTTGCATTCCTTCTTTTGAAAACTTCCTCTTTATAGCCTTTGACAACCTATTTATTGGGAAATGGCTTTCCTGGTATATTTATATAAATTTCCTTCATATCTTGGATATGAGACCTTTATATTTGATAAAAAGATTTTTCCCAATCAACAACTTCTTTTCTTTTGGCTGCATTGAATTTGTTCACATAAAAACTTTTTTTTTTATTAAATAACCAAAATTATTTTTATCTGTCATGATAATTTCTATGTCTCATTGGGGTAAGAATTCTACCTCTAGCTTGTAAATCAAGTAAGATAGTAGGCCCAGACTAGCAGTGTCAGTTTATGTCACTTCAAAGGGCTGAGTCACCTACTTTTCAATGTACCTCCTTCCATTCTCCACTAAGTAGACAAGCCACTCAGTCATGCATCTGACAGTAACAACCCATACTTAAGGAATATGGGATTCTAGCAAATTCTCATTGCAAATTTCATATAAGTAGATCAGTGTATACAAGTGTGGTGAGAGAATAACTGTGATATGATGAAATTGAGGAGTAGGTTATATGTAGAGGAAGCAATATTGGATTTGGAGTCAGCTGAAGCTTAGGTTCAAACCTTACCTCTAACAATTACTAGCTTTGTGACTAGGGGCAAGTCACTTGGCATTTCTGATCCTCAGTATCCTTATCTGTAAAATAGGGATAAGATCTGTGATTCTTATCCCATAGCATTTTTATTAAGATAAAATGAGATACTTCATATAAAGCTCTTTGTAAACAATAAGCACTATCATATAAATGTCAATTATTATTATTCCTAAATGAAAAAATACTATAGAGCTCTCAGTTCTCAGGTTATATGTCCTTAATTCCAGCAAAACAGCATTTTAAGCTTAATATCCTGGTTGGAAGTAATAACAGGAATTAGGATGATAGAATAAATTTCTTTTAAGACAGATAGTAGAATTTTAATGCTGTTGTTCAAAAATAGAAAGTTTGAATATATCTTAGCACTAATTAGTTCTTAGCAAAGGGCCTTTATGTTATCATCTTTTAAAATAATATATTATCATCCATATTTAAGTTAGCTTTTAAATTACCCATTGGAATCACCTTAACAATAGTGTTATCCATTTTATGAATGAATCCAGACTAATTAAGTCTATGTATTTATTTGATACCTCAGCTTTCAAGTTTTCTAAGACATCTCAGTTTGTCCTAACTTGACCTATTCTTTCTATAGTTAACCTACTATTTCTGGTGGTATTAATTAATGTAGCCCTATTTTGTGATTCTTTTATTTGACTTTCTGCTTTTCTTAGCCTTCTTCTTTTCATAAACCTAGACAATCTTAGAATTACAGGGTGCTTTGAAGAACTGACCAAATTTTAATAACAAGAATATATGAAGAGTTGTCTGCGTTTAGGTACCGCCATATTAAATGCTGAAAGCACATAGGGAATTTCTGATTCCATAATAGGATTTAAGAGTATTGCTTACTTTGTTTTAACATCTTTAAATGTTGCATGTTGAAGGAAAACAAATATATAGTTGCTTCTTTGTAGAAAAATTGTCACTTTTTACTGGTTGCATTTGTATCATTTATGTAACTTTTGGGGAAAGAACAGTCAGTACTGCCAAAATATCGTGGTGTTGTTAAGAGACAATCTCTGAATTTCTTGGAAGTAGGCTATCTGAATCTTGACGTTTTTCTTAATTCTCTCTTTTTGTTCAATTACTTATTCAACCTATTTCTGTGCATCATCTTTTTTGGAGGGGAGGCTCCAAATTGACTTCATCTTCTCATGTCTTTTTTCTTTGAAAAATCTCTACTGTTGTGACTAGTTTTAACTTCCTTTATCCAAGAATTAGAAATACAAATGGGCTGATGAACCAGCTGTGAAATGAACCAGAGCTCACCAGTTTTTTCCATTCTGCTTTACCTTTATCACAAGCAAAGCAGTTATTAAACTTCTTCATGATAGTTTCAGTGTATATTGGCCCTAATGCATTGTTACTGTCTCCAAATATAGTTTTTATAGCTCCAAGTAATTACATGGTATAAGTTTAATATATTATATAATGAATTACACTTTTTTTGCAATCTTGTATGGCCTTGTTTCTTTAAAACTTTTCAAGGCATCGTTTCAACTGAAATAAAGTTTAAGCTTATTTTCCAAAATAAATCAGAAAGCATTGTGAAGGAAAACACAAACAAATAGAGACTGCATCACAAATAGACTTCCCTTTTAAAAAGTTAAGTTCTTACATTATCAGCCTCATCTTTTAATTGGTATTTAGACTAAGAAATCATTTTAATACTCTCTAATTTAATTTGGTGTTGATCTCAAATGCCATTCCTTTTTATCTTCATGAATCAGCCATACATTTTTGATATGCCTAAAATTACTGTATTGTCATTATCATTTTAATAGCTTCCTTGAATGGATTTTTCATTATATCTAGTAAAAAAAAATTCTACTTGTCTCTTAGTGATTCATAAAGTGTATACTTTTTCTGAACAAGATCAATATCTATAAATATATCTTAGTACCTTATAGACTTTGTTTTTCATTTCCCAATTCAAAATGTTTATTATATTCCAGTCATCAGTTTTTCCTAGGATTCCAAACTAACTAACCTAGTCTATAGCACCAGAAAAAAAAAAGTACACCATGAGAATTAGACTAATTTAAACTGTATCTAAAAACAACAGAAAACCAGAAATGCTCAAATATTGCTCTAATCACAAAATAATGATCATACCCATTTTCTCTTAATAGAAATAATTTTAGTTTTTATCATAAAGTGATAAAGTAACCAGGTACTTGCTAGAAAAACCTTCAATTTTGAGGAAAAATCTAGAGTTGAAAATGACTGGTGTTATTTGGTTTAAAGAAGTATCACATAACTGAGCACTAAAGTAAAATTGAGAAGTTCTTAAGAGTTATTTTTAAATGTTGCAGTCCTATTAACTTTTATCTTGGCTAGCCTTCACAAAATAAAGTTTTTTCCTAACCAGCACCCTAAAGTTGCCAGGATTCATTAGCCTATCCTCTGCTTGGCTTTCAATGTAGGTTCCTTTCTTTCTTTTCTCTTTGCTTCTGACTTAATCCTCTGCCTACTTCACAGGCCGGTTCTTTGATGAAAATGAATCCCCTGTTGATCCGCAGCATGGCTCTAAATTGGCGGATTATAATGGGGATGATGGTAACGTAGGTGAGTATGAGGCAGACAAGCAGGCTGAGCTGGCTTACAATGAGGAAGAAGATGGTGATGGTGGAGAAGAAGACGTCCAAGGTGAGCGTGGGGCCTGACCTCCGTGCTGTGACAGTGAAACTCACCTCTGGCTTACTAGTTGAATTTGTGTAGAATTTTTTTCCATTTCTTAGAACTGCCTTAATACAAAGGAGGCTTGTATAATTTTTCAGTTTAGTTTTTGTTTTAAAATTTTTATGAATGTTTTAATGTAGTTGTGGATTCTGAAATTATTTTTAGAAAATTGATATTTTGGCTTGTAATCGTAAATGTCTTTGTGATCTTGTTACAGTTTGGAAATTTAAAATCTTCAGCTTTGAATAGGAATTAATGTTCTTTCACATGCCTCTAGACTTTATTAAGGCAAATCCACCAAAAAAAAGAACTTTTGAGGCTTCTAACACTGAAAAAACATTTCTAAACTATCTATAAATAATACCCAGCTAACCCTTGGGCTACAGGGGTAGTTGGCATGAAAAGGAATGGGTTCCTTCTCCACTGAAGATCTATTTAGTTCACAGTTGTTTTGGCTTATTTCCCTTGGATTAAAATGTAAACTGTCATCCTCATCAGTTCATTAAGATTAGAGATTTTTTTGTATAATACACAGATTCAACAGATTTTCCTTGTTAAGTGTTACTTCTGAGCTTTTAATTTAATGAAAGTTCAGGAACTGCCTGTGAGCATGCTGCCCTTCCCATGTTCTAATACTGCATGTATTTCAGGGAATGTAGTTTTGTTGCCATTTTGCCTGGGCTGCTTTCTGGATCTTTATATGTAATTTAGTGTAGCTTCCAGTGGAACTTTTTTCTTTTCTACAAAAGTTGATTATGAAATTAAACAGCATGTGTAATGTATTTATTGTATGTTATAATACTGATGCATGGGAAATTATACTTTTGTGGTTGTAAGTTTAACTTGCTCTTGATTTCTCCCTTGCTGCCATTACTGTAACTAAAGTTTCCACTTTAAAATGTGTTGTGAAATTTAAAAGAAAATATATTTCATTTTTAAAGTATTGCACAATTCACAGGAAAAAAAATTTGAGCCACCAAATTTTATGTAGGCACATGCCTGTGTATTACTACCATAGCTTTCCAAGGTTAGAGTCTTAAGAAAGAAGATTGATGAATGGTAGTTAAAAATTATATGAAGAGGTATAAATGAAGATTCCTTATATGAATAAACTTCTTTTGTATTATTAAAGCAACTGTAATTCTCTTTCTATCTACCTATCTTTATTTTAACCATCTCCTCCAGAAAAGCTGCCTTGGCTAACTTCATCCCACTGATCATTTTTATTCTTTATCTTTATTCTTTATATTTTGGTTGCATATTATTTTGAAGTTATTTGTGTTTTGCAATTGTCAAGCATTTTTCTTACATGTGTACCCAGTTAGATTGTAAGCTCCTAGAGGGCAGGAATTAGTTTTTTGTTTTTGTTTTTTCCTTTTATTTGTCTCTTCAATCTCTACTTACTTCCCCTAACCAGTATCAAATAAATGTTATTGACTGACATCTTCCCCTTTCACTGAGCTTTTGTGCTTCTAACTGTGATTTGGTGAAATGTCCCATTATCTTCTGGCTTTATTAACTTAATTGCTTATATTTAGTTCTGTTTCTAGTTTTCTTTCTGAAGGGCTTTCATATTTTTTTCATCCAGCTGTAAGATAATTCTGGAGCTTTGTCTAGACCCATTATTTTGTTCCATCTGTAATTGACAATCTTTTTTTATAATTTGTGCTACCTTTCTAAAGCCAAATTTTGAAGGAATTTTCAGCTTAATAGTATATGCGTTCAAGGATGACCCTTGACAAAGTTAAGAAATAGGCCCATTCTACACTCCTTTCCCCCTCTCTTTTAGTGTACCTACTTAATCCAAAGCTCAGATCTCATGTAAATTTATCTGTCTTGTCACCTGAAAATAATAATAGCTGCAAAATTCATTGACATAAGATTTTAGTAACCTAAAATACCATATTTTAGGGGTATTTGCATTTTAAAGGACCTCTCATATTACCCCCATAAATTACCATAATTTATGAACAGAAATAAAATTTCAGGGTTTTTCAAATCACATTAGGTAGAAGATAGGTGAGGCATAAGATGGTCAGTCATGTACTCTTAAGTGATGATTTCATTTAGAATTGAATAAGAGTTTGAAAAAAATGCTTTTTGCTATTCTAATCACATAGAACTTTATTCTCTTAGAACTTGAGTAAAACACTACTCCTTTGGGTTTAGAACTAAACTTAAATGTACCAGTAACACTCAAGAAGAAGCATCAGGGTTGGGTATATGAACACTAGGCTATTTGTGGCAGATTTTTTGTGGGCAGGTAGTCTGGACCTTAGGGAATAGTAGCAAAGTGCCAAAGAAAGGCACAGCTGCTAATACCATAATTTTTAAGGTGGCAAAAGTAGTGTTTTTTGGAATAGTGGGATCATTTGCTATCGTATAAGTATTAGGTACAATCTTTCCATAGATATATTTTGAGTAATTGATGAACTTTCTAAAGTCACTGTTAAAAGAGCAGATAAGTTGATAGTTCCTGTGGGTTTGCTATGATAAAGATGTGTCTTATACACAAATATGTGCAAATTTCTTAAAACTTGTTACAATAAATGTTGAAAAGTGGGCCCCTATTCTTATAGATGTGTATACATATTCTGGGTCACAATACATATCAAAGGTAACAAACCATTTACAACATAGGCATGCATGCAAAGTTATGACATAAACCTGTATTCTACTTACCCAGTAGTGGTGCTAAGTTAAGTGATTTTTCAAAAGTAAAGAATAACTGGTTTCCAGTTTCTATTAGCTTTTATGACATCCTTTATGATGAGAAATATGTAGGAAATATTTTGTGTTTCTATGGTTTAATAGAGCATTGCAATCGGAAGACTTCAGTTTGAGTTTGGCTCTGATGTGTATTCCCCATGTGACTGTGGGCAAGTTACTTAACCCCTCTAGTCCTCAATTTCCTTATCTGTAAAGTCATATGGTTGGACGAGGCAAACTCTAAATATATCATCCTATGTTTCCTTAATATATTTTCCCATAGAAACTGTTTGATAAATGGTGTTTAGGTTTCTAAGTCAGCTGACAAAGGCCTACTTGGTCCATAAGGTAACTGAATTATAATATTAATAATGCATTGGAATCTAACCATCATTATGGCAACTAGGTGATTCAGTGAATACAGCACTGGACTTGGAGTCAAGAAGACCTGAGTATAGAGCTCTGGCCTCAGAGTCAGGAGGACCTGAGTTCAAATTTGGCCTCAGACACTTGACACTTACTAGCTATGTGACCCTCGGCAAGTCATTTAACCCTGACTGCCTCACCAAAAAGTTTAATAAAAAAAAAAAGGACTTGAGTTAAAATCTAGTGTCAGATACTTAATAGTCGTATGAGCCTGGGCATGTCACTTAACTTCCAAATGCCTCCGTTTCCTCATCTGTAAAATGAGGATAATAATAGCACTTGTCTCCTAGCATTGCTGTGAGGTTATGATGAGATAATATTTGTCAAGTGATTTGCAAACCTTAACGTGTTATATAAATGCTAGTTATTATCATCAATAACTGACTCTGTTTTTTAAAAGTTGCAGATTCTAACCCAAGATATACCAGGAGCCACCAGTAGTACGAAAAGAACCTTCTCTTATCACCCTAACCCTACAGATGGAGCTCCCCCCATCCAGGCCAGCACCAAATCTAGAATCCCTGACAAAGGAGACAACGACACTGTATTCCCCATTGCTCCAGCCACTGCTGGAGTCTCTAGCTCCCAACTCTTAGGGCTCTAATTCCAACAGCTGGTTCTCCAGGGGGCTTTGGCTTTAGGGGCTAAAGCTTTAGCACTAGCTCTGGTGACAGTTTGTATATAAGTCATTCATAAACTGGGGGTTTCTAAGTCAGAGACCAAACAAAAGGCATTTCCTTGGGAAATCTGATTTTGTTTAAGGCACATTTTTGGCATGTTGTTTCTTTACTACCACAGAATAAGAATAATTAGTCATAATGCATTGTGTTCTTTACTTTTCTGTGATCTAAAGAGTCCTACATGCAATTTCATTTACTTTCCTATAAATTGATTTCAGCAACTTCTAGAACAGAACTCATAATAAAAGGCCCTAAGACTAACAATTCACAGCCCTAGAACGCTTTCCATGGATTTTTACACTGAATGCTGGATGTACCTTTTTCTTTTCATTCAGTTCATTCAACATATATATTTATAGACTGTAGCTCAAACTGAGGATTAACAAAACAAAATAACTTCCATCAGTAATCCTATGGAGATGTCCACCTTGATTCATAGAATCCAAAATAGTTACAGGTAACTAAACAAAAGAACAAAGTTAATAGAAATGTATGGTAACCGGGTTTGGATAATTTTGGAAGGCAGGTCCAGTGATGTATGTTGGCCTGTACTCTTAAGAGAAGGAAAGTGAAGGAACACCATTGAGTTGTTAGCCCAGAAAACCTGCCTAGTTATTGAGATTCATAGACCCCATTTTATGGGAGGTAGCCAGAGGAGTGCTAGAACCAGCCTGAGCTGGCTCTGAGCAGGTTGTTAAATTTTTAGTGTGAGCATTTATACCTTGGGAATCTGCAAATACAAATTAGGGCTTGATTTTCTGTTTTATTGATTGTCTAGACTTAAGGCAGTGAAGGAAAAATGCTAATAATGCAGATTAAACTTTAAAGTATAGGTACTTTTTTTTTTTAAGAGCCAGTTCTTCAACATCTACCAACATGGTCCTGAAGATACCCCATACTTTATGATATTTCACTTTGTGCTGCAAAGGGGAATTGAGACATTACAAAATATTTCAATCAAGTGTGGGTAGCTTTCTAATTATTTTCTTTCCTTTAAGTACTATTCTGTATCGATGAAATTTTTGAATAGACTTTTCCTTTACAGAAATGAACTATATTAGTATACCCCATTTAGTCTGTATACGTCTTTTGCTTTAAGTGATAACGATCAGTCTATGTTCAATTTGGCGAGGTGATATCATAGACAGAAGCAAAGCAATAGCTCTTAGAAATTTCTATTCCAAGTTATGTAGTTATACTATAGCATTTAGTTTCAGGTAAGATAATAATGGTATAGGGGAAACAGCACTGGAGGTACAGTCAGAAGACTTGGGTTTAAATCTTAGCTTTGCTGCTTCAGGCATGTCACCCAACCCACCTCTACCTTAGTTTCCTCCTCTGTAAAACTGAGGATATTGGGCTAGATGACCTATATGGTCCTTTCCAATTGTACACTTATGATCCATTAAGACCCAAGGGCATCATTGTATTGCTGCATATGATGGGATTAATATTTATCATAATAGTGACCCTTGGTTAATGAGGAAAAGTTAAATTGTCTTCGGTATAGGAGGGAAATGGCATTTAAAATATTTCTATGCAAAATGGTCAAAATAAAAGATGTTTCTATGTATAAAGAGTACGTCTTCAACTAATTATAAAACTTACCTGTCCAGAACTACGTGTTCTCCAAAGGTTTCAGATGAAATTTTATTTTATTTAATTTTTTTTAAATCCCTTCTTTTTCTTTTTTTTTTTTTGTTTGGGCAGTTGGGGTTAAGTGACTTGCTCAGGGTCACACAGCTAGTAAGTGTCAAGTGTAGATGAAATTTTACTATAAACGTTTTTAAATGGTTTCTGTTGCAAACATGCAACCTTTTAAAACCAAGCATAAAATATCAGTACATACATTTGGAAAATTAAATAAAGACCATGCGCTTATAATGGAAGACATAAATATCTCAGTGGTCTTACCTCATTGTCATTTTCTTGTGGGGAAGGAAGTGATATAAATTTTATGTCCATCTTAAAAAACATTGAACGGAGGCAGCTATCCTTAAGCAGAGGGGAAAGAACAGTTCTGAGACATTGTTTAAAATGAATTTCTGCAGTAGCCTTTTTAAGAGTTTATTTTTGATGTGTAAACATTTCACTTACAGACGATGAAGAACGTGAACTTCAAATGGACCCTGCAGACTATGGGAAGCAACACTTCAATGATGTCCTATAAATTCTGTACTGGAGGAAAACTGCAGAAAAACTGAATTGCTGTAAAATGGAACCATTTCTGCTTCATTGTTTCTTGGCTTTTATTTTAAAAATCACCTGTAAAGAAACAATGATAAGAACCTTAATAGAGAACTTTAATAGAGAAATGTACATATGTATATATTTGAACTTTTGCATATTGTATAATGAAATCCAGAGATGTTTTTGGTTCTTTTATAGTTGAACCAATAAACAAAGAAAACAAAAACTATAATCTTTGCATTTAAAGCAAGCTAATGTATCTACTTCAAAATTTTAGTTTGAATTGTTTCCTTAAGTTGGTAAATTGGAAATATGGTGATATAGTTTATATGTTGAACATAGCATATCCAGAATGGTGGGAATAAGCTGAAAACTTTCTTTTATACACAAATATATTCTTGATTGATTCAATACATGTTCTGCTCCATCCCTCTGCTGCTCATTTCAAGTTTTTTGGAGAACGACACCTAGATACCTAAGTGTAAGGGGGATAGGGGATATAGGAGGGTAGCATGTGTGAAAACTCACCTCCCTACCCCTTTTGTTTTACGTGGGTGCTGTTTTGTGTTCTGAGGATAAACTTTCAAAAGGTGAGATAACCTGGAAACACATACATTCTTTTGATGGTTGTATCTCATCAATTGAAAAAATTGAAAATTAAATTGAAATTGAATTGAAGGGAAAAAAACCGGATGGCTATATTTTTACCTTTTTAATACCAGTACTATTTAACTGTAGGCAACAGAGATGATACTTTTTATATCTCCAGTTAAGATTGGTAATAGTGTTCATGATTTAAATGCCAGATCCTGGATGGGGCTAAATTGGCTTCATAGAAAACCTGATATCAGTATTTCACAGATTCTCTAGTAGTTTTAGAGAATTCTCTACAGTGCAGTATTTTCCTACACTTTATCAAAATGAATATACATGGAATTTTAAAACATTTTTGATGAATGTCCAAACTGTTAATAGAAGTATAATGAGTCTACAGCTGTTTTATTACAAATAATTTAAAAGTTTATATTAGAGAGGTCTGAGGTATATATAATTTGCTATTACTTAATGTTATTGTTAAAAACCCATTTATCTCATAAATATTTAAATCTCAGTTACTCAAAATTAATTTAAATGCAGATATCTTAAGACATTTGACCTATTTGACATTGTTGGTTTTCTATCTCACTAGAATTTGTAAGTTACGTAATTTTTGTAATCTGGTTTAAAGCACTTTTAAATTTTACAGAAATAGTTCTATTCACTTAAAAGGAGAATTTAAGAATGTTAACCCTAACTGCTATTCAGAAGGGCTACTGTTAATAGCACATAAACATAAAGATATTTTTCTCTTTCTGTACTCAGGTTGAAGTCTAAATCACAAATAATAGAGATAAGTGGATCACTCATTTCATTAACTGTTCCAGGTTTTGGGGAATTCATTTTGCAACCAGGAGAAGGTGCTGTAGTTTAGGCAATGAACAAGCTTTTTTTGCACCACCCCAAGATTGGCTCCTTTGTCACTAATAGGATAAAGCCTGCTGTGGAGAGAGATAGTTCATAGAACAATTTAAATACTGTTAAGGAGGCAGTGGGGGTGCAGGGGAGGTTGAAAAGACTTCCAGTAATACTGTGTATCTAATACTGTACAATCTTACAGAATTTTAAAACATTTGCCTTAGTTCCTTTGGCCTAAAACCAATCACTTGGGCATCTTAATAGCCATTACTTATTTACACAGTTAAATTTCTACCAGTAGCCTAAAATTTTTATAACCCTAGAAATCTAGATCCAATTGATAGAATTTCTCTTAGTATTATAAAAACATATACATCTCTTAAGACTGACATTCTACAGACTGTATTAGAAATGCTGGTTTTGTGATGTTTACTTCTGCCTTAAGATTTAATTTTTTATGTATTTTTGCCCCACATTGTGTTAATATGATGGAAACTTTGCTATTGCAATCACCACTTTCTGGGTCCTACTAAATTAAGAATGAATAAAAAAAACTTTTCATTTTATTGGTGCTGACTCTGATATATATGATATATATTACTATATATATATGATATATATGTGGTAGCAAATAACTGCAGTCTAATGCCAGTATGAAACTTTTTATTGTTACAGTATAATTCAATAATATTATATCTATAAAAACAAATACAAACTTGCAATGGATTGTGTTTAAAAAAAAAAAAGACCATATGTATCCAGCTTTGCTATGTTAGGGCACTGAGAATGAACAATAGTTTCAGGGACATGTTTCTAAAAGAAAGCAAAGATTTTTAAATATAAAAAACTGGAATAACAGTTAATTTTTACTCTTAAGATATTTATGCTTAAAATTCAAAGATAAAAGTAGTTAGCTGAACTCATTACCTATGGGACATTAGTTAAAGCAGTCTGACATGGTCAGGATTTTTCCATTTTTTTTCTCAGAATAAAAATGAATCCATTTTGGAATAATCAAACTCATCATGATGAAATACTATGAACTTAATCCTTTCTTCAGTTCTTCTTCTGTGCAATATTTCCCCAAATTTTTCATTCCATGCTACCTTCTAAATTTGCCATGGCATATTTGGAGGTGAGGCTCAGAGATTTCTGAAACAAAAATTGGTATATGAGTATCTTTTCATAGAGGGTTGATAGAGCTCTTTGAAAAAATATTTTACTGTCATAATCATTTTTATCCTCTAATCAAGAATATTACCCCCACTGCCCAATTCTTATTTTTTGCCTTTCTTTATACTGTCCCCAGAGAAACTTCATCTATTATCACAGTTCCAGCTGTCACCTCTCTTTGCATGGCCCTCAAATTTATATTTCCATCATTAATGCCTCTTTTCTGTACGTCATTCATGACGTTCCACCTACCAATAGGTGGAATTTTCCTTGGATGCCTAGTTGGTATCACAAATGCAATATATGAAAGACCAAACTCATCTCTCCCCCCCAACCATTCACACATACCACCCCCCAAAAAAGAAATGCAACTGCCTCCTGAATTCTCTATTTCCATTGCTGTGATGACAATGTGGTATAGTAGAAAGAGCACTTGCCTTGAACAAGAAGACGTGGAATTGAGACTCTTGTAACTTTTTAGCTGAGTAATCTTGAACAAAACATTTGGACCCCTCAGAGCCTCAGTTCCTACCTACCTCAGATTATTGTGAGGATCAAATGAGATAATGTATGTGAAAGCACTTTGTAGTGCTGTACACGTGAAAGGTATAATTATTCTCCCAGGCACACAGGCTTGAAACCTTGGAGTCATATTTGACTCTTTTGCCTCCTGTATACGATTATTTTACTGCCCTGTCAATTTTTTTTTTCATATGTGCCTCTTCCCCTTCGCTACCAGTCTAGTCAGGTTCTTATTACCTCATGCCCGAATCACTACTATAACCTAAATCATCCACTTACTTTGAGTTTACTACCTTATCCACTTCATTTTGTATGTCACCACCATATTCATTTTCCTAAAACATGACTTACATCACGTTATTCCCCTGCTCAAAAACTTTCCTTGGCTTTATCTTACAGGGAACCTCCTTAGCCTAATATTTAAAGCTTATTCCAATTGGCTCCAGTGTATTGATCTAATATTCCCCAAATCAAACTTCCATTCCAGTCAAACTGAGCAACTCAACATCACCTTGCTCATTCCTGTCTTGTGTCTTTGCTCATATTGTTTTAAATCCTCTCTCTTCATCCCCATGCCTATCCAAATCCTGCCCTTCTTTAAGGGCCCACTTCAATGCCCTTGTTTCCATTAAGCCTTTCTTATTAAAACTCATGGTCATGGTGATCTTTCCCTCCTTTAAGATCTCATACTATTTAGTGTACCATTTTAACACTTAGTCACAAATTGCCTTGTATTCTTCAACTTTTCATTCATAAATGTCTTAACTTCCCCAAATATTAGATTCCAAGCACCTCAGGGGCAGGAACCCTTATACTTATTTCCCCTACTGTGCCCATCTCAGCACTATGCAGATAGATAGTAGGTGCTTAATAAAACTTAGTTGTGATGAGATGCTACAGATGACTAATGCCAAGCCCTTCCTCAACATTGCTGTTTGAGAGGATGGAGAAAACGGAAATGTGTTAGACCAGCTCACAGAAATTCTCTTTTGATGGTCAAGCCGCTAGTTATTTATACAAATTCTATCTAGGTATCCAACAACTCAGGTCATGGAATACTGAATTGAGAAAAAGGGATACAGAGTATAAAATGAAAATGGAAGAATGATTACTAGGGAGAATGTGAACAATCATATCTTCAACCTTTTATTTTTAAAAAATAAAATAACCAAATTTTCACTTTTGGAATGGACTTAAGCAGTCAACCTGTACTTCAATAGGTTACTTCTGTTATACTGTCTCTCTTGGATAATTTTACCAGAAAAAAATGGATCATCTTAAGATTTCATACCTATTTTCTCTTGTGTCATTTGCAGTTATGTGATTAAGTTAGAACTTTGTAGTTAGGCAACACTGAACATCCTTTAGAACACAGGGACAGAACATCCCCAGGAGAAAGCATGCTTATGAAATTGGCTCAGTAGAGAGAGGCTGTTTACTAACATTGTGTCAATGTTAACCATTTCAGTGAATTTTTGTCATTGAAAAACATGTACATGATATGTACTGTACTTTGTACTGTATAAAGCAAGTTTAACTGCCCTCTGAGAGCTCATGTTTTAAATAGATGATGTAGATATAGACATATAAGAAAAAGCACATTTGAGAACAAAGAACAAAAATAAAATAGATATTTAAGGATCTACATGTCTGTGTGCAGTAGAAAAGGATTTGTGTGACAGTAGCTTAATGTGGGGAGCATGGCAATAATGATATATAAATTATTGCCTGTCTTTCTTTATCCCACCTGCCGTGATTCCATGACTCCATTAGGACCCTTAACATTGTCCTAAGCATCTAAATGGATAAGTGGTTCTGAATAAATGCATCTCCATATGCCTGCCTCTTTCCTTGACACCAGTATCTACATTAAAGGACTATCCCCCTTAAGGAATCCTTTTGAGACAGGCAACATCTTTATTATATCATGCCCCAGCTTTTTACCATTTTCTCTTCCTATTTTTAACCTAGTCCTCTCAAGTTAAATGTGAAATAACCAAAAACATGAGGAAACTTCAACAAAATAACAAAATTTAAAAGAATTTGAATGTTTTGGTGTCACCTGTGCTAATTTGTCTAATTTACTATGCAGAGTAAGCATATCGTGTGTTTCTCCTGAGCAGGGGCCATGTCTTTGTAATCAAGTTTTATAGGATCTTGTCTGCATTAGAAGCTCAATAAATATCCATGATAATTGTGCAAAACTTATATCCCTTTAAATATAATTTACAAATGGAATTTGTGAGTAAACTAGACTCCCCTGTGCAGCAATTTAGTAAACAGCTAGTCAACATATGTGTGTGCCTGACCAAAGCTCTAATGGGATGATAATGCCCATTAGGGCATTTAGATTACCTACAAGTGGAATCTTTAGAGACCCAATGAACAACAGTCTGGCTAATTAGTACAACCTTTTCTCTACCATACTGTCACAACTATTCTTGTTTCCTAGTATTCCTTTATCAACTCCCCTGTTATTGGCAGGTTATGCTTTCTCTGCCTCCCTTTTTGATACCTGCCAATTTCTAGTTCCTTACCTGGATAAAACAAAGCAAGGATCTTCCTTTTATGACACTGAAAATTCCAATGTGCTTTTTTGGTAGAAGAGATGGGAATTGAAGAGATTAGAAAATTAGGAGTAGAAATTTATGAAAAATGTTAAAGATCACTGTGTTGCATGTTACCTGTTGGTATGTCTGCCAAACATGAAACTGACCTAGAACAAAATTCACATTATAAGAGTAAGGATATTGAGGAAAATTTGAAAGAGGTATAAATAAGGAGAGCAGAAGCTTTTTGATACTATGTAGGGCTGTGTATAACTTAAGAACATGCTTCATAAGGTATTTTAATATTTCATTCAGGTTTTGCAGAGTAAAGTTTCTGTTACTTGTTTACTTATATATCAGTGAGTTGGAAGATTGTCCTCTCAGAACTGAATTAGGCAGTACTCGATTGCTAACATGGGGTAGAGACACTGGACCTGCCATTGTCAGTGAGGGATTAACTGTGAGTAGAGTTGAGGAGGACAAGTTTTATTAAAATAATCTGTCATGAGGAGGGAGATGGCATTATGAATATTTTCATTAATATGGGTCTTCTTAAAAAAGATGACTCCAAAGGAGCCGCTATGTGGCATAGTGGATAAAGCTCTGGCCTTGGAGTCAGGAGGACCTGAGTTCAAATCCGGCCTCAGACACTTGACACTTATTAGCCATGTGACCCTGGGCAAGTCACTTAACTCCAGTTGCCTCACCAACAAAAAAAAGCAAAAAGGTGACTCCAATTCAATAGTTACATGATTTCGTGGGTATGAAATAATAATAGCTAGCATTTATATAACACTTTAAGGTTTGCAAAGTGCTTTATAAATATTATTTCATTTTATCCTCACAACTCTGGGAGGCAGGTGCTATTATTATCCCCATTTTTCAGATGTGGAAACTGAGGCAAATGAGGTGACATGACTTGCCTAGAGTCATACAGCTAGTAAGTATCCGAGGCCAGATTTGAACTCAGGTTCAGGTTCTCCTGAACTCTATCCCAGCACTCTATCCCTTGTGACACCTAGCTGCCTCTGACATTATTCAGGATATAGTTGCTTTTATTGCAGGAGAGCAATGATGAGAAGCTATGTGAGTCAAGAAGGAGCCCCTAACACAAAGAACCTTGGGGTTGGGATAGAAAACTTGACTCAAATGATCAATCCTCAGGCTTCAGGTTTCCTCTGGTGCTAATATGGAGTGGCAAAGAACAAGAGAGAATTGAGAAACTTAACAACTAAAACTAGATGCTAAGAATTGTTCAAATCAATCCTTGAACAGAGATTTAGACTTCTCATTCCTCAAATAGTTAAAATCAGAGTATGACT